ACTGCTGCTGGTCATGTTGAACTCCTTGTCAATGGCTTCCATCTGGAAAGGATATCAACCTGCTTGATGGTGAATGGTTCAAAAAGGTCCTCCAAGAGGTACACCTCATTGTCAAGCGGTTTCACCTGCAAGTGTCGTAGGAGGATTTGCGCGAGATCCTGCCAGAACTGGTAAGAATACACCTGTGCCAGTTTGGTCCTGCTTCCGAAGGTACCAGCGTTTCCCTCTAGGGGGTGGTGTTCATGCTTGACTGAGCTGGAAAATTTTTACACCTTCTGAAGATCGGTCTCATGACCTCGGAAGGTAAACAGTGCATCAAGCTCGTGGGCTTGAGACTTCTGAGCCCGGATTCAGGATCTTTAAGTCCGTATGCACAGAAATGGAAATCCCCCCAGGTCATGGAAGGATCTGAAAACAATTGTTGCATGCGTTTCAGATGCCATATCCTGGATGTCTGAGGATTTTCGATGATGAAGTATCTTCTGTGCTTCAACTGATATCGCGCAATGGATGCCACAAATTCAACCATGGGAAGGTGCTTTTCCCCAACCTTTTGTTGGTCTTGTTGGATGTTCTGCATATTTGACCATGGTCCACAGACCGGCCATAAGGATGACATCAGGTGCTTGTTCCCTGATGATCTCCATGACCATGTGTCGTCCCTTGGATGTCATTACATCGAATCCTGTGCGGATGTCTACGGGAGTCCCAACCTTAAGACCTGATAGTGCACAGCATTGACTGAATCTGGCACTTCCTGCAAAGATCTCGAGAACGTGGATCTTTCCCTTACGTACACAATTCCAATGTGCTTGTTCAGGAATGGATGTGAGGTCCTCGACGAACATGTTCTCTGCTGGATGAGGTACTGCAGGTTTTGGAGTTGTTTTTCCCGCGATACGGAATGGCACTGAGGATCTTGGCTTAGGAGCTGGTGCGGATGATTCCTTTTTCTTGGTATCTGCAGAGGAGCCGGGTTGCTCCTTCTGCAAGGATCCTCGCTCTTCTGGGAATAGAAGATCAATTCCGGGTTTCCCCGGAGGGATGGTTTCATCCTTCCTGAGCTTCGTCATGTTAACCTTGATGAGTCGAGTCCCAAGATCAAGTCCTACCATCGCTCCTTCAATGGAAATGACCTTTCCTTTTAGCCATATTCCTCCCTTGGATTTGTCTTCCTGCCAGTAGAATACCTTGTCCTTCACCTGAAGAGGCTTTGAACTCATTCGGAGATTTTGAGCAAGGTCTCGTCGGATGTCTTCGGATTGACGTGCTTCTTGGAAAGCTTGCTTTGACAGCTGCTTGATCTGGATGGCTGTCAGCTCTTCTTCATTCCTGTTAATCGTCAACTGAGTTGGTGTTGCGACATGGTGTTACACCCCCGTAGGTGATGGTCTGATTCCTGACAGTTGCAGCGGCTTTCACTAGCTGCCTGTATGTCACGTTGTTCAGTGTTGCAGGTGCTGTACCTGCTTTGATGGAACTTAGCATGATCTTGAGTTGTGCCTTCAGGAGTCGAACTGCTGCTTCAGCTCGATTTGGCCATGGTGTATTCGGTCCCAAGGATATCGGTGTGATGTCAAGGGACTGATAGAAATGTTCCCATGTATCTGTCATGAAGGCTTGATCTGCGACAACTGATTTGGGCTGCAAGTGGTACTGGTCAAAATAGTTCCTGAGGACAGTGATGTTCTCGGCTTCTTGCGTAGTTGTCATTGCCTCTGCAGTGAGCAATGTTGTTGCTCCATCCAGGATGACAAAAACAATGATGTGTTCTCCTGTTCCAAGAGGAACTTGACAGTGATCAATGAATGTCATGTCACCAAAGGTGTCCGCTCGAAGTCCACTTGTTTTGCTTCGTGATGGCGCATGTCTTGCCGCTTGGCAAACTTCACACTCACTTCGGATCTTGTCAAATAGATCGAATGTTGATTTCGGCAAATGAAGTGCTCGGGTTCTAAATCGAAATTGCAGGTGGAGTTTCTTCAACTCTTCAGGATTTGACAATCGCTTGTGTATTCTGCCTAGGGCAAGCGGAAGCGATGTTGGTTCTTCTGAGGATGGTGCGAAAGGATCTGGCTCAATAGTCGACCGGCCCCTCTTGTCGATGATCCTGTCTGCTGCCGATCCTGAACCTGCTTCTTCGTCCTTAAGCGAATTGTCCGCGAAGGTGAAAATAGTCTTACCTGTCCACAGGTTCATCATCGGTTTATTTGTCTGGGATGTAAGTCTCCAATTGTCTTCTAAAATGTCTGGATCTCCACCTGCGGATGCATCAGGATTGATTGGACATTCCTTGCCTCCATTTGGTGTGAACAGCGCCTTTCGGGGCGTGATGTGCACACGGATGAGCTGCTTGTTCTTCTTGTCAAGGATCCAATGGTCCTGCTTTTGAGACCCAATGCCAATGATCTTAGGCTAGGTCCTCCTTTGTCTCGGATGATTTTGCTGCACAAACAGTTTCCGCTCTTGGTGAGATCCCCGGAGGGAAACTTGATGCTGCTATCATCGTCATAGACATAGTTGATGAGGCCCTTGTGAGCAATTTCTCCATGCGCCTTCACTCTTGCAACTCCAGCGAGATCGACGAGTGCATGTCCTGTACCGGATACTGGAACTGCTTGACGGTTCATGCCAAAGGCCTTTCATGTGATCGTGTCACATTGAGGTGTGTGCTCGATGGTCATGTAGAGGCTCCGCATCTGGCTGATGCTGAGAAGGATCGGTACAGTTCCTTGTTCAAGGACGTCGATGTTGGTACTGCATGGAGGAGTTGTGTGATATCGAAGATGCAGGGTCCAATGTACCCTGGCGGTCTCTCCGTTTGCAAAAGTGAACTTGGTCTCGGCCGGGATGTACTCATAGGAGATGATGTCCTTCATTGGTTCGATGGCCTGAGTAAAACGCTGGATTGCATGCCAGCTGCCCATAGATCTGGTACATCCATTGTCCAGAATCGCATAGGTCGGGTTGCGCTGAGGGTTGATGACAGGCGCCATCAGCTTTGTTGCCAGAAGGCTGTGATTTGTTGTGACGGACAGATTGTGTTCTGAAACTGTATCTGATTGGATCAGCTTCTCGTGGATGGTGTCCTGTGCTGGATGTCTCATGGGATGAGTACCAGCCATGTTCGTTCCATGTCCATGATTGATCCCAGTCTTGGTCTGTCCAACCGGTATAGGTAGGCTCTATGGATGGTGCAGTCTGCTGGATGGCGGGCTGCTCCTCCGTTTCTCTTGATGGCTGCGAACGTCTTGGATTTTCCTTTCTCCTGTCCGCTCTTTCCTTTGCCACTCTCATAGGGTGGATAACCTTTGTTTCCATCATAGGGATATTGGAATTTTGATTTTCCTTTCTTCCCCTTCTTTCCTTTGCCTTTTCCCCAATATGCCTGGTCGTAGGGATCATAGTTTTCGTTGGCCATATTGGCCTGTCCGCCAGAACCGCTTTTTCTGAAGGGTTTAAAGCCACCTCGTTGGTGACTGCCCGTTTTGTTTCCTGATTTTCCTTTTTCTCTTCTTGAACTTGAAGTTCCGCCCCGACACTTTTCTTGCTATGAACGCATCGTTCTCCTCGAGGACCCAGAACGTCTCTTCATCGTTGTTTGACATGAATCCTTCAAGTCCTTCTTCATCCTCAACCCAGAAGCCTTCTTCTCCTTCGTATTCACCTTGTTCGATGATGAAGAATGTGTTGCTTCGGTTGCCTCCTTGAGGTCGGATGGATGGATCTTGGATTGATGTCCTCGTCGTGATGAAGAGTTCATGGTAGTGCGTCTTCAGCATCTCATAGGAGTAGTTTTCTAGTGAGATGTTTCTCAATGACATTGCACTTGTCAGTCTCTCTCGTTGCTGATCTGACAGCTCACTTTGAATAATGAAAAACTGTGCAATGAGATTATCCCCGAAGGGAAATGCGTCCCGCTGTCTGTCCTGCATTCCTTGGATATACTGTCTGAGGACTGTCGGATCGTCCTCATTGAGCAGGGCTGGAGGCGGTGCTCGAACACCGGCTGCTTGCTGATGTCGAGCAATTGTTCTTGCATTTGCGTCCTGCACGGAAATGATGGGGACTGTGCCGTGAAAACGGGCATCAAGTCCATCCATGCTGCAATTCAATCTCATAAGAAGGATTTCGAATTTTGAGGTAAAAATGAGGAACTCTTGGTTCTGCCTTCTATGGTTGAAGAAACTGAGGAGCCTGTACAGATACACGTTGGTCGCACCTTTCAAAAAGTACTTCTTCAGCGTGTTCTTGAAATAGTTGACTCCTTCATCAGGATCTTGCAAAAGGTCGTTTTGGAGGACCGCCTTGTACATATATGCATCACCGGTTAGTCTGCTTTTGAGCAGAGGTCCTCTCTTGGGTGCTTCCACCGTTGTGATGGTCACCCAGTCGTCCATGAGTTCTTCATACCTGAACCAGCCGACTTTTCCGTCGTACGATGGCGGCTGCTTGGCGGTCATCGATAAATTTAGTGTTTCCTCCGTATAGCCTGGATTTTTGGCCATACTTGCATAGGCTTCCATGAAGCCTTCTCCATCGGATGACATCTTCCCTTGGATCTCTGCGGAAAACCCGCTCCGCTACCACAAATTGAGGCCCACTGCCCCTATCCCAGAAGGGAACTGGTACCCTGTGGTAGTAGAGGTCGTTGTGTTGGTCCCTGGATCTATTCCGGAGAGAATCCAATATGCCACTGTGGATGATTGGAGGATGGATTGTCCCTGGTGGATTGTCTTGTGGATAATCCTGTAAGCGGCCTGCTAAGGTTCTTTTGCTTCACGCGATCATGAATGATGCAATGTTACACAAAAGGGGCCTTGAGCCAAATGTTGCGGGAGATCAATTGGTCTGAGAACCAAACACAGGAAGGGGGGCTCCTGCCACCACAAAGCTGCCACCAAAATTGCTAGACTGTTTCGCAGTGTTTGGACGTGACATATGGCTCCACTCTTCTTCACGATGGCATACCTCAGCCATAAATGCCCTTAACCTGGCAGGCCAATGCTGGATGAGAGGAGCGAGCTGCTCGAGCCAGAGGCATGCTGCCCTGGTCTTGAATGAGCTGACACCGTAGATACAACCAGCTATGAGGTGTACCAGAGATAAATGCAAGAAGCCTCCGTACCAACTAAAGTGGTGGGATCACGGACACAGTTGCCTTGCTTCTTGAGAGTTGGGCTTGGGAATTTGAATAGACTCGTAGTCTGCGTAGAGCAAACGTATCCATGCTTTGACTCATGATGCGTCAAAGCCATGAAATGGTCAAGAGCTGTTCTGAATTCGAGCCTCTTTACTTGGTCCTTAGCACACTAACTTTCTTGGATCAACGATTGCCGTGGATTCAAACGGAGCCAAAAGCATGACACTTGTTTGGTGTGGCGTATGCCTGCATCATGTCTCTGATTTCTCAGGGCTTTCTTCTCGCAATTGCTTGATGCAATTCAGGCACGGCTGAACGCTTGAGAGTTTGAAGACAGTATAGCGAAGACATTGAGAGAGAACTGTTCACATGATGCATTCCTGGGAGGAAGGTCCGCCCCAATCCTTGTGCAGCGGGCATCTGAGAGTGACGGGAAAGTCACTGCTAATGGAGAACTTGTTGCAACTGCGACAAGGGACTTGACATCATGATCATTCCTGGGACTTTTTCCCTCGGGGAAGAAGTACAATCCAGAGCTTGGAAGAGCGCCTGGCCGTCGAGCGAATCTTTGGATTGTTTGACTTGACACATGGAACTTCTTCTGCTTTTACATGGCGGTCTCGGTTTTGAATGTGTTGAGTCCTCGTTTGCAAGCCTTGTGTTCAAGGGAGCTTAAAACGAGCTGGCCGTGGGATGGACTTCTCTAGCATCAAGGCTTGCAAGCTCCAATTTTGAAGCATGCCTTGCTGACAGTCAGGACAAGAAGACAGTAAATTGCACATCCAGCATGTCAGCAGAGCATGCTGATTTGTAGAGCCTGACGCAACTCAAAGTGCTGGAGAGATTGCTCGCAGCACGTGGGCAGCTGCAAAGACGTCGTGGCTGACGGGATGATTCGGGAAACTGCACGTGATTGAAAAGCATGCGTGAAATCAGTACCTGCTTGAAACTGAGACAGATGTGCGCCATGAAAAGCTAAGGCGCCCTGCCAGTGTTTATCTTGGTGAAGGATGCTGGTACTGGCGATGCGGATGGTGTCAGCTGCCCAGCTTGTGCAATGTCACTCCGCGAACAGCCAACATGTCGCATTCTACAGTTGCAGTCCAAGCCTTCAAGCACTGTTGGTCAGCAGGTTTACAAGCCGGCAAGCCGACGATGGCTTGATCATGATGTCTACGAGCGGCAACCTCGGTCCAGAGAAGGGAACAATTTGTTTCGCATGTTTGGTGTGCCAGGTTTATGAGACGTTGGAACCCAGAGTCAAATGTTAGCATGTTCTGTGTTAGCTGCGTAAAGTGCATTTGCAAGGCAATGTTGCACCTTTTGAGTCAGCAGCAAGCGTGCATGGCCTGGTCGGTCAGTTTGGGCTCAGATGAGGCATATGACACTGCACTGTGTGTTCAACAGCAATGGGTGCATGAATGCATGTGGGAATATGGCAGTGACTTAGTGATTTTTTGCAGCTGGCAAGTCCTGGACACAGGAACGTCTCAGATTAGATCCCGGAGTCCACCGGAGCCGTGCACGCTCAGCGTGTCAAACTGATGGAATGGGGAGCACATGACTCAGTTCCGGGCGGACGCAGCAGCTCCATCCTCTGGTTTTGGCGCGTGGGTGGGCTCCAGGCAAGGCTTTTGAGAAACAAATTTTGCCATTTGCGAATGACTCCTCTCAGAGAACGCTTTTCGAAAGCAAGCTATGAATGGTAACAGCCGCCAGGCCCGTTGGGCTTAGCTCGCTGGAGCTTTTGGTCACTGGCTCTGTGGCGGGCGTTGTAGCCAAGACGGTGACAGCTCCGCTGGATCGTGTGCGGCTGATTTATCAGGCGGGCACAGTGCTTCACTGAAGTGAGGCCTTGGAGAGGAGAGAAATGAGACAGGGTCAAGCTGAGTTCGAATGTTTGGCCTAAACAAACGTTCGATAAAGCCGAGATAGAACTGTGCAGAGTCTCTGACCGAGTCTGGCACGCTCGCGGCTGGAAAGTCGGTGAGGTCACGCCGTCGAAAGTCTACAGTCTTCGAGATGCTGTCCAGCTGGCAAGAGACATTGCCCGTCTTGGAGGGCCGCAGGGCCTGTGGTACGGGCACAAGGCCACTGTCTACCGGGTGGTTCCTTTTGCAGGAATCCAATTTCTGGCTTTCGAAACTGTTCAGTCCAAGCTGGTGCAAAAATCAGTGCCTTCTACACTGTCGCCCTATTGGATTCCAGCCTGCGCTGGTGCCGCTGCCGCTGTGACGGCCACGGTGGCAACGTATCCTTTAGATGTGCTGCGAACAAGGATTGCTGGGCATCTTGAAGCTGTTCCCCGCTACCGCGACTATTCCAGCGCATTTCAAACTATTCTCAAGATCGAGGGTTTCAGGCCCGGGCAGGATTGGTCAGGCGCAATTTGAATCCACTGTAATTATGATGCTGATTTCAAGAGTCTAGTCAGCTTCCGGTACTCACAAAAGAGAGAAGGGTACCTGTGTTCTCGTACTACCGTGTGCTCAGGGGTCTCTTCCGGGGACTGTCTCCGACTCTCCTGGGAATTGGTCCCTACGGCGCTATGTCTTTTTGCGCCTTTGAGTCTGCAAAGAGGAAACTGCGGCAGTGGCACCAGGCTGGGCATTGGGGAACATTTCAATAGTGGATTAGTGAAGGGCAATCCAGCCCGGGAGTGAAGAATCGTCCAACACTGGCCGGGTTCTTGTTGGTCGGTCCTTGGACAGTTTGCGTTCGCTTGTCCTACAGTGTCCGCTTGAATGCTGCTGTGAAGAGATCGAAATCACGACGCTCCACAAGTGAAGCATGCAATCTGACTCCCCGCACAAGAGGCAAATGCCCGATCGCAGCATGATCTTGGCGAATTCATTGGTGAGTGTTTGCCAGCATGCCGAGGACCACAGCTGCCATCCAAGCCCATGAATGGGATGCTGCAAATGTCCGCCTCAGTCTTTCCATCTAAACAGTCCAATGTAGGCCGCAGGAAGAGCAGAGTGAGCGTGGCCCTGCAGGTTCCCACGGATTCAGATGTGCCACTCCTGCACCGACTAGCAGCTGCCACCCTCAGCGGTGCCACAGCCCAGCTGTTATCGTGGCTCGCCAATGGATTGTATTTGATAATATTTGATATATGTTGATATTGTATTTGATATTGATGGCATCATATTGGCGTCATATTTGATATATTCCAACATATTCCAACATCCAGTGATCAGAGCCTCTGGGGCCAGAGGCCCGAAGACCTGGATGACTATGACTCAGACAGCTGAGGTATCCCATGCAGACTGTGCGCCGGCGGATGCAGTTCCCCTACCCAGAAGAGTTGGGAGCTCAAGGACCGGCCACATGGACCAATTTGAGAATCGCGCAAGAACAAGAACGGCTTGACTGTGCTTCGGTCACAGAGCAAAGTGGCAGAAGCCAAGCACTGGAAATTGTTAATTGTTCAATGATATCTTGGCCGGGGGCAACCCCGCCGGCTAGCCCAGACATCACGGGGAACATTGACATGGATTTTGGCCCGACTTTGCGCCAGGATCCCTAGCCTATGCAAACTTGAGGCTGGCACGGTGGTTGAAGAAATCCACATTTGCATGCTTCATCTTTGACTCTGACCCTGGGTGACAGGGACACCTTCAGACAAATACAGGCCACAGAGGGTTTGGCGGCTCTCTACAAAGGCGCGATTGCAATGACCGAAAGCGCAAATCGGCAAATGTCTAAATGTTTGCTGTCTGACCGTATTCAGGTGCATCAATCGTTTGGATGAAAGGGCCGCTGACCGTCGGCCTTGCATTTGTGGTCAATGACGCATTGAAGGGACGCTTGGACGAGATCCGGAAGTGGGCGCGCGGGGACAAGCTCACCTACGACAAATCTTTGCTCGTTCGACTGAGATTGTCCTGCATGGCCCAGGATATTTTCATCGACGGCATGCTTCAGACGAGCAACTTTTTGGCACTTCAGCTAATGCTTGCAGGCGCTTAGGTTGTGCGACCAAGGCATGATCAATACATAGCCCTGCCGGGCAGAGGGCATGTTACAGATGGAACAGCTCAAAAGCAGCTGGGCTGCACTGGAACGGCTGGTGAGAGGATCCTGGGAGAGGTGTTTGATGTCGGTTGATACCTGAAGCCTGTAAACAGCTCGTAGCCTGCGGCCGAGGCTCAGCGCTGTCGAGAGTTTGGTGGTTGGTGGTGCGGCCGGAGCAACTGCGAAGACCGTCATAGCCCCGCTGGACTGAGCTGAAACTGAGCCATGCCTCACATGACTCACCTTTGTGCATAGCGCCCTGAGAACAAAGTTAAATCATTCCTCCCTTTTGATTGATGAACGTGTGTAGCCTGTGTTTGTGCTCTTGCTTTGACCTTTCAGGCAGGGTCGAAAATGTCAAAAGCAGGTCATGTTTGATTTGGAGGACAGGGTCAAGATCATCTACCAGACTGACAAGACTCGCCACTTCTCCTGGCATGATGTTATTCATAGGCTGCAGCTCGACTTGATTCAATTCAATCCACTTTGGGAGGTTGGAGCAAGAACGGAACAGAAAAGCTGAGGAAAGACATCTACAACGTGGAGGGGGTGCCAGGTCTATGGCGGGGTCACGGAGCAACCTTGCTGCGAGTCGTGCCATACTCGGCGCTCTTGCCTTAGTCGAGAGGAGCATGCGCGTGTCACGGGAATCGGCAGCTGCCTGTGACCAATCCCAGGATCAGCTTTACAGTCTTCGATCCATACAAGGCCACGTCGTGAGTTTGAAATGTTTTGTGGGATGGGCGATTCGCATGTCCAAGGGAGGGGTGTAGGACTTTTGCGCCAGACTCCCAAGGCACATTTACCTTCCGAAGACACATTGCCCCGCAAATTTCCCGATCACGATTTTGACCCCCAAAGTCGAATTCTGAAGACGAGTTCCCAAAGATGAATTTCCCCTGCCGAAGACGAATTCCCGCCACAAAGACAAATTACCCCCCGAAGACAAACTCGGAAGACTCGAATTGCCCCCGTAAAGACGAATCCCGCAGCCCCTCGAAGACGAATTCCCACCCGAAGCGGCTGAGGCTGCCCCGAGTCTGTCAACTGTGGTTTCTCTATGGCTCTTTGAATCCCGACGGCCATGCAGGTGATGCATGGATACTGGGCACCGAGTCTGGCAGAATTTTTCAAGACGCGTTGAAGCGAAACCTGACGCAGGATTTGTACGCAGGGGATGCCAGTTCGCGATGTCGGGGCTGCTTGCCCAAGTCTGTGGCCATTTAGGCGGTTGCCCCCAAGATATGAAACAAAGCCTGATGCATTTTTTCTTTAGGAAGCGAAAGCTGCTGTGGAATTGGCTTCGGCCGCGCAAGAGCGGCTGGCTCAGTCACCTGAGGCGCGGCCTCGCGTAGAGTGACCTGTCTCACAGTTACGCACATCAATGTTGCCCGCTTGCAAAAGCAGCTCCCGAGTGCTGCCGCTATCTGTGAGGTGTCACTGACAAGCACGTCCCCTTCCTTGCGCGCCCCACGCACGGGAAGCGCAGGCCGTTCTGCCCTGCGTTCACAGCGCGCCCTGGCTGGGCTTGAGGGGCGGAAGCTCTGAAGCAACAAGCAGCCTATGCAGCGCTCCTGGGCCCCACTCGCGCCGCGAGCCTAGTAGAGGGCGGCCCAGACGGTGCAACGGAAGTTAAAGCGTTTCGAGACAAACAGCCAGCCTAGCTGTCAACCGGCGTAGCCGGGAGGAAATTGAGCGCATGCAACTGCCACAAAAGCAAAGAGCGTTTGGGAGCTCACGCGCGTCAAATGTCCGGTCGAAAGGTTAGACGCGATGAACGCGTCAATGCTTCTGATCGAGGGCACGCACGTCAGCCGCGAGCGGACGTGTCTTCAAGGAAGCTTGCGCTCTCCGGGAGTTTGGCGCTCAAGACAAGCAGTTGCCCGCCTGCTGCGGAGAGCCAGGCATGTTTGCGTTTGGCGCCCTGCGACTGCAAGGCCAATCATTGCAGGTGTTTCGGACACGTGTCTTCGCGTTCTGCGTGGAGCCAAAAATGCTTCAGACTGCAAGGGTTGCGCTTCACATTACGCGCAGATGTCTGAAACCACACACGTCGTTGCATGTTTCCGGCTGTTGCATTGCGAGGGCTCCGCTCACTTTGCGACGGCTGAGCGTTGCAAATTTAGAGGGGGATTGGCTTGAAGGGGAAAGAACCTCAAATGGGTCTGACCCAGCGCGCTCAAGGCATCGCCGGTAACAGGTCTCGCCTACAATCTCGCATGAAAGCCAGATGCGAAGAGCTGCAGCACTTTCGCAGGTTCTGGTGTTTTCGAGCCAGGCGCAACAGCCTCGGCCCGGGGCGTTTCAAGTCCAAGATGCGAGACTAAGCCGACGTAGGGTTTTTCGTCAAGCGCCGCGCACACCCGTGTATCACTGGCGAGATCAACCAAGTCGCTCCCGACCTCTAACGTTGGAACGCGGCATCGCCGGGTTTGCGTCGTCAGGAGGAATGTGGCGTCACGGGGAACGCGGCGGCAGAGACGAGGGAGAACGCGGAACGCAGCGTCAGGACAGGAGTGCGGCGTGCTGCGTCAGAGGGAATAGCTTCAGAGATTTCACCGGCGCGACAATGGCTGAGCAGAGTAAAGTCCTACCCATTCTGCCCGTCTCCTCCGCCCAGCAGAACCTCTGGAAGATCAACACCAACATGCGCAGAGTAAGCTGGGTTAAGCTGGGCTTGTGCGCGGGACTACCCTGATGTAGGGAGAAGACCGTTTGCCAATGTACTTCCTTTTCCGCACTTCCACTGAGAAGTTGCGACTTTCGAGCCGCAGTAATTCCTTTAGTACGAGGTGGAGCTGCCAAAGTGGACTTCCTCTGCTGCGCTTGTACTGAGAAGTTGCGACTTTCGAGCCGGAGCAGCCTCCACACTTTCTTGAGCACGCTCGTACTGTTGCAGCTTCCGAGCTGGAGCTGCCGCATGAAACGTGGAGCCGCGCAAAAGCACACAAAACGACACGCGCTACACAATGTTTTCTTGTACAAGAGGGTGGCAAAGGAGCCAAGCGGCCGTATACACTTGAAGGTCGCCGGCGCACGTTTGCGTTGCTGGGCAGAACCTCTTCCCTTGCCGCGGGATTTATGAACCGTTTTGCGGAGATCCATGGCACTTCAGCACTTGCTCATGTATGCTACTTGTAAAAGTCTGCATAGGCTGGTCTACGTCGTGCCCTCCCAGACTTGAGTGACGTGCAGGTGCGGATGGTGTGTTTGCAAGCGTGGGGGATTGAAATGGTTTGGTAGAGTAACACGGTTGACATATCTCACCTTCTGGTCGCAGGTCCTTGCGCTTGCTCCATTTCACGCAAGCAACGTTCACACAAGTATCTATCGGGGCCCGGACCTGCCTTCGATCGTTGCGGCCCATTTTGCCCCATCACGCCCACCCAAGTGAGATGGTTCACTCTGACTTAAAGAGATCAACGCCAGGCCGCAGGGATCTCAAATCACGTGGAGATATTTAGCAAGTTGACCCAAATTTGCACAAGAGCTGAGGTCCGCTTTGTTGCAGGCGCAGCTGCTGGCGCCACAGCCACCAGCTTCACATACCCTTTGGACCTACTGAGAGCTCCGTGGACTGCAGTGAGCACGTAACGGCAAGTATTAGCTGAGAAACTATGCAATAATGGCAGCAATGGTCATCCCTTAAGTTTTGACGGATGGTTATCCATGGCAAGCCCATCAGGCTCGGATGGCAGCTCACCAAGGCAGGCAGTTTGCAGCTGCCATGAAATATGGAGTTACCTTGCAGGTGCTGCTGCGTACGATGGCTACTTACGAGCTGTGTCACAAATTATCAAGAATGAGGGCGCATGGGCGCTGTGGAGCGGCTGGAAACCTACACTTCTAGGCAGAGAGCAGTCCATCGGGCGATGTGTTTACGTTGTTTTTGAAATTGGGCTTGCATTTGTTTTACAGGCTGGGCCTAAAGAGGCACTTAACTTGAAACATTCCAAGTTTGAATCTAGCCCGATCCCCAATGCAAACGCAACTTTGAATCAAGCCTGCACCTCCTTCAGAATAAGCCATGGGGAAATCAAAACCAAGCATGAATCCTGAACATGAAACAATCCAAACAGAGACGTTAGGCCCGGTGGCGATGCTGGGGATGCAAAAAGAAAAGTGTTCGCTCCCAGATACTATGGTGTTTGAACATACCAGCATCACCTGTGTTTCGAAATGGAGATGTTTATCTCCGTTTGCTAAACGTGGAGGACGCTATTGCTAGGTCAAGCGGTAGGTATCTCCAGCACCACGAGCGCATACTTTTTAGCAAAAAACGACAACAGCCCCAACATCACTAGTGCTTCAGTACAAAAACGCATTGCCGTAGTCATAGTCGAAAGGGGCGTGAAACGCATGGATTGTTACGGATTGTTTTCACGTCCTTTGGCAGTCCGGCTCCACAGTGAGATTCTTTCGTTGGCAACATCCGTCCCCAGATTTTTCTAAATACGGTAACTATATGATACTATATAATGATATGTAATAAATGTCCTCTCCCTTTTCTCCTTCTTCATCTCTCCCTTCTCTCCCTTCCTCAATCTCCCCCTCTCTGTCTCTCTCTATCTCTCTCTCTCTCTCTCTCTCCCTGTCTCTCTCTCTCGCTCTCTCTCTGCATTGCAGCGTCACGTCCCCCCTGAGTTGCTTCGATGTCCAGGGACTGACCCTGAACTGTCATCTCACCACTTGATTTCCTCTTCATGTCCTTTTCACGTGTCCCATAATGTCCTGGTCATGTCCCTTCCATTCCTTTCAACTCCCCCTTCATGTCCCTGTCATTCCCTCGTATGTCCGGCTTCATTGCCCAGGTTGTTTGTTGTCTGTCTGTCTGTATGTATGTATGTATGTATGTATATATATATATATATGTATATATGTATGTGATGTATGTATGTATGTATGTATGTAATGTATGTATGTGTGTGTATGTTTGTATGTATGTATGTATGTATGTATGTATGTAATGTATGTATGTATGTATGTATGTTTGTGTGTATGTAATGTATGTATGTTTGTATGTATGTATGCATGTATGTAGTGTATGTATGTATGTATGTATGTATGTATGTATGTATGTATGTATGTATGTATGTATGTATGTAGTGTATGTATGTATGTATGTATGTATGTATGTATGTGTGTGTTTATGTATGTATGTATGTATGTATGTATGTATGTGTGTATGTATTTATGTATGTCTGTAATGTATGTATGTATGCATACATACATTACATACATACATCACATACATACATACATACATTACATACATACATTACATACATACATGCATACATACATTACATGCATACATACATACATACATAATTACAATACAGCACCGTACATTACATTACATTACATAGATACATACATACATACATTACATACATTACATACATTACATACATTACATACATTGCATGCATGCATGCATGCATACATACATACATGCATGCATGTATGTATTTATGTATGTATGTGATGTATGTATGTGTGTATGTATGTATGTATGTATGTATGTATGTATGTATGTATGTATGTATGTATGCATGTATGTATGTATGTAATGTAAGTAATGCGTGTCATGTATGCAATGTATGTATGTATGTATGTATGTATGTAATGTAATGTAATGTAATGTATGTAATGTATGTATGTATGTATGCATGTGTGTGTTTATGTATGTATGTATGTGTGTGTGTATGTATGTATGTGTGTATGTAATCTACATATTTGTGTATGTATGTGTGTATGTATGTATTGTATGTAATCTACATATGTATGTATGTATGTATTGTATGTAGTCTACGTATGTATGTATGCAATGCATGTATGTATGTATGTGTGTGTTGATGTAGGTATGCATGCATGCATGCATGTTATGTATGCGTGTGTGTGTGTGTATGTATGTATGTTTGTATGACTGTATGTATACATGTATTGTATGTATGTATGTATGTATGTAATTATGTATGTATGTACTGTATGTATGTATGTATGTATGTATGTATGTATGTATGTATGTATGTAATGTATGTAATGTATGTTTGTACGTAATGTAATGTAATGTAATGTAATGTAATGTAATGTAATGTAGTGTAATGTAATGTAATGCAATGTATGTAATTATGTATGTATTGTATGTAATCTACGTATCTATGTATGCACGTATGTATGTATGTTATGTTATGTTATGTTATGTGTGTATGCAGGTATGTATGTATATGTGTGCATGTATGTAATGCATGTATGTATGTATGCATGTAATGTATGTATGTATGTATGTATGTATGTATGTATGTATGTATGTATGTATGTAATGTATGTATGTATGTATGTGATGTAATGTATGTAATGTATGTTTGTATGTAATGTAATGTAATGTAATGTAATGTAATGTAATGTAATGTAATGTAATGTAATGTATGTTTTGTATGTAATCTACGTATCTATGTTTGCACGTATGTATGTATGTGTGTTATGTTGTGTTATGTTATGTTATGTATGTATGTATGTATGTATGTAATGCATGTATGTATGTATGCATGTAATGCATGTATGTATGTATGCATGTAATGTATGTATGTGTGTATGCATGTAATGTATGTATGTATTCATGTATGCATGTATGTGTGTATGTGTGTGTATGTATATGTATATGTATATGTACACGTATATGTATATGTATATGTATTTGTATATGTATATGTTTCTGTATGTATATGTATATGTATATGTATATATATGTATATGTATGTATATGTATGTATATGTATGTATATGTATGTATATGTATGTATATGTATGTATATGTATGTATGTATGTATGTATGTATGGGGTCGAGATCATTTTGGCCGCGAACAGTTTGTTCTGGCCTGTTTCGGCCGCGAATATCTCCCCCGGCCTGTTTCGGCCGCGAACATCTCCCCCGGCCTGTTTCGGCCGCGAACACTTTGGAACGCTGAAAATGCAAAGTTCGAAACCATCCAAACGATCGAATAGTTCAAAAAGACCGAAACGTGCTTCGAAACACTCCAAATGTGCGAAAAGTTCGAAAAGTTCGGCGCGTTCCAAACTTTTGAAAAGTCCCAAGCGTTCGAAAAGTGTGAAACGTTCGAAACGCTCGAACTGCGCTTGAAAAGTTCGAACAGAGCGAAATTTCCAAACGTTCGAAGCGTTCGAGAAGTTCCAGATGTTCGAAACGTTCCAGGCCTTCGAAAAGTTTGAAGCTTTCCAAACGTTCGATCAGTTCCAAACCGCAGTGCTTCCTCGACTATACTTTTTGCGACTTTAAAAACCGAACCTGCAATGTCCCAGCTAGAGAGGCCAAAGGCGGTAAAATGAGAATCTTCAAAGGAGTGGACATGGTGGAAGTTCAGCTTGCCGCAGGGTCCTGTGCATGTAGATTAAATGTTTCAGTAGCCCGCTGATCAGGCGATGTTGCATGGGAACCCGTCATGGCAGTTTTATCTGTACACGGGCCCAAAAGCTATGGACACACTACATGTACCTGACCGCGCAGCCCACTGTCATCCTTGAACGCCACTTTTGGCAAGGTTTGAACACAAATTCAGCGACAACTTTTAAGTCAAGATATTGGCAGTCCGCATGGTCCCTTCAGAAAAAAGCGCATGCTCTGGACAATGACGTGACCGTGGACAACCCGTGGACAAACTGTGGGAAGACAATAAAAATGCGTGGAGGCCAGAAAAGGGTGTGGAAAGGCTATTCAAAGCATGGAGATGGCTGCGCTTGGTGCGCTAGGCTGGTGGTGCGCGGAATCGTTTCCTATTTGTTCCCGGTTGACACTCCATTATTGAGGCTCAAGTCTTGTCACCGCCTCGGCTGAATGCCTCTATGAAAAACATATTGACGAAACACGGGGCGCGCAAGGTCCCTCTAAATAGAATGTTAGCGCAGCAATGCTATCTACTTCAGGCAGCCAAATTGCATTTTTAGCGTTGGCGAGTTTAGCCAATTGGATGAAACAGGCTACTACATTCACCCAGGAAAGAAAAACGGCACGCAAGCTTCCAAAGGTATACGCAACGCAAAAGCGCAGCGTGTAGCCTCTATCCAACTTATGGTTGAGCTACCTCGACCACACTTTGGACCGCTTTTGGGAGACCAGGGAACACGTAGATGATGACCACTTCGGTAACAGAAGTGTCATTCTTGAAGTATTTAGGGCCAGGGTCGGCAAAAAACGGTCTAGTTACATCGAAAACTCTTTTTATGGCAATTGAAAGGCTAGCGAAACCCTCAAAGTTCGCATCCAAACGTTCAAAAAGTTTGAAACAATCGAAACTTCGAAACGTTCGAAAAGTTCGAAACGAAAAGTTCGAAACGTCCGAAACGTTCCAAAAGTTCGAAACGTTCGAAAAGTTCGAAACGTTCGAAAAAGTTCGAAAATTTCGAAAGTTCGAAACGGTTCCAAGCATTCAAAAACGTTCCCAGCGACCAAAGCATGTCACAGAAGCTTGTTCGCAGCCGAAACAGGCCAGGGGCAGTGTTAGCAGCCGAAACGGTCGCAGAGGCAACGTTAGCAGCCGAAGCAGTCGCAGCCCTATGTGTAATGTAATGTATGTCTGTAATGTATGTAATGTATTGTAATGTATGTAAATGTAATGTATGTAATGTAATGTAATGTAATGTAATGTAATGTAATGTAATGTAATGTAATGTAATGTAATGCAATGTAATGTAATGTATGTAATGTAATGTAATGTAATGTAATGTAATGTAAGTATGTATGTATGCACTCCCCTAGTTTTCATGTCTGTCCCTTTCATGTCCCTTTCAGTTCTCCTTGGTTTCCCTTTCATTTCCCGTTGCTTTCCTGT